TTCTTGTTTGTATGAATTTGACTGCCTCTTGTTTGGCATGAGTGAAATCATACAGTATTTGTCTTTGTATGACGGGCTTATTTCACTTAGCGTAGTGTCCTCAAGGTTCTTCCCTGTTGGAGCACGTGACAGGGTTTCCTTCCTTTGTAAGACTGAATGGCGCTTCCATTTTGTCTGTTTCTTGCGCTGAGTGCAAAGTGCTCTTCCAGCCTTGACATAATTTGCGAAAAGCGTTCCTTCATCACCTGTCATGTTGGAGTTGTAGATAGTTGTAAGCTACCAAAAATGTTTAATGTGAAGATGTATAAATGTGGTTCTAAAGAAATTCATATAGTAAGAGAGCAAATCCTTTTGAAAGAGTCAGGAAAAGCATCAGAACGGAGGTTGTATTTAGGACAGACCTTAAAGATGAGCACAATTGGAAGGGATGAGAGAGGAGGTTGCCGTGAAACTTGAGGCAAAGGTCACAGAGGCACGACTGTATGAGGCATAAGCATGTTCAAGACATAGCAAACAGCCTGGCTGGGCAGGGATGTGGAATTCCTGTAGGGTAGTAAAGAAAGATGAGGTCAGAAGTGGGTTGAAGGGAAACTGTGAAGAACCTTGAAAGCCAAGATGAAGGATTTAACTTTGGAGGAGGAAGTGGGCATCTCTTGTGGACTTTTAGCAGCAGTTGCTAGATTTCAACCAGAGGTTGATTTCATCTTGAGGTTGGTTGGGTAGGATGGACATTACTGCTGTTAGATGGCTTTACAACTGGACTTAGCAGTGTAACTGGAGCTGTCCAGCATCAACCTGAAATTGCAGAGGGCACCAAGCTGCTGCCCTTGGTTCTTCCTCTTGGGCATTGTTTGAACGTCTCAGGGCTAAGTTTTCTGGGGGTGAAGATTTAGTCTGTCTTGTTCCCTGGTGTGCCCTTAGCTAGCTTTGTTCAACAGCAGGACAGGAGACCTTGAGAGGGAGAGAACCCCATTACAGAAGCGTTGAAGGAGGAGCGGGATGATCATTAGTCCATGAGTTCATAGCAGGATGCTTGCTTGTTTAGGAGAAGCTGTGCACATTGTTCTCTGGCTCTGAGTTCTGCATAAATGAAATCTGATTCTCATGTGTTCTGTAGTGTTTGAAGGAAACAGGGCAATGTAGGTAGAAAAGCAACCGTTTATAAGAGCAGCAATTAGAACATGACAGTCATCCATCAGGAAAACTTGTGGTCCAGCCCTAGATGTCAGGCAGTACACTGGGAATTTTATGGGGAGATGAGGATGCCCTGGTAGACACCACTGCAGATGGTTAGGCCAGCCACCACCATCACTATAAATGCAAGAAATCTGAGTGTGTCCCCCTACAATGAATATGTATTGTGCATCAGATGGATGCAAGGTTAGAGATGAACTGTAGCCATCCTCATTTCCCCTTTATAAGATTTATGGGTCTAGCTTGAACTTCTTGGTACCTTCACTGTGAATGTACTTAACCCTTAATAGTTCCATATGTTCTATGTAGTATTTCATTGTATGTGATCTAAATTTACTGCTTTTGAACTTCACAGATAGATCCCCAGGTTCCAGCATTCTGAGACCAGATAAGCATGTTTATGTTTGGCTTCATGACTTTGTGACTTTGCTTTGACTGCTTCTCAGCTTTCGCCTGGACGGTCACAAACAGCCCTCCCATCAGGGCACTGTCCCATCCAGCTCTTTTCTGTCGCCCTTCTCTGGACCTTCTCGCCTTCCTTTTTGCCTGTTTTACAGAAGGTTCAGGTTCAACAACCCAGTCATTGATTGGCTGGCCCTCTCCTTGCCTGGTCTCCCTGGGAGCGACGGCACTGGTCTGCATTGCTGCAGAAATAAACAGTAGAGTGTGTTTTTATCGATGACTGATAATTTCTAACAAAATATTGATCTGATGAACAGGTGTTTTTTTTTTCTCCTCATGATTCTAGGAACATCTGTATTTTTGACTCTTTGAGAGCCCTTTCCCAACCATGAATAAGGTGTAATTTGACTTTTACAAAGTCGAATTTCATTGCTGCAGAGATGACCAGCCCAAGTAACCCGGTTAGCTGGAGAGCAACCCCCTCTCCTGCCCAGCGTCAGCACCTCAGCAAGGCCTGTTTCCCCCCTGTTTGTTGTCACCTTCCCAGGTGGCCTTCCCGGGTCAATTTAAAAACAAAAATATTTCTTTGTGAAAAGTAGCACTGAAACAAAGTCCAGTGCTGATGATGCAGTGCAATAATGGCCTTCGATTTTTAGGATCCTGGAAGGTCTCAGGACATCAGACACTTGCTGTGGTTTCCAGGTGCGGGGCTGGCTTCAGGCTGAGGGCATTTAACACAAATTGCTTGTTACTCTTGGATCCCTCGGTCAACACGTTTTGCCTTTCCTGGCATTTGGCCATGAAGAAGGCCAAGCTACCTTAGAGTCCCCAGGGTGGCCCAGCGGGGTTGGTGGAGCGCCTGTGATCACCTTTCTTGCAGCCGGAGGGATCTGATTTGGTAGTTTAGTGATACTGGACTCTTATTTAAGTTCTAAGTATACTTCTTTTAGGCTCTTTGTGGCTTTGGGTGGGTGCCTGTATCTGCGGAAGGAGATCAGACAGTCTAACCCACTGGAACCAGGTGGCAGATGACTGAGAAATTCTTACAACACTTTCATTCATTAAGATACCAAGTGCTACTCTCATTGTCAAGGACTTCTGGTACATCAGCAGTTATAAATGGGCTTCTACAGCATCCACTGCTGGTGTTAATTTTAAAAAGTGAGAAGAGAGACGAGGGATGTATTTGTGTGGCCCAGACTCATTCTGTGCATAAAGGACAGTTTTCAAGCAGGAGGATCGACTTAGAAGTCACCTGCGGGTTTAATTTTCTTGTCTGAAGTCTTAAGCCAGAGCTGTGTCAGGCTGGGAAATACTGCTCCCTTGGGTTTTATGACTCTGTGACACCGTTTGGGTTTATTTTTCTTGTTCTCTGGTGGTTTTTGCTCTCTCCACTCCCATCAGCAGAGACAGTTTTATGAATATGCTGCGTCTCGATCAGCCTGGCTGCAGAAGACTCATCCACCCCTAAGTCAGCAAGCAGAGAGCCTTGTGTATGTCCCAGCAGGACCAGCCGCTGTCGTTACGGATGCGAGAGGCAGAGTGTGTCCTCCCACAATCCATAAATACCATGCAGCAGGGAGATGCAAAGCATTTGATTCAGCCAGGTGCCATCAGGGGTAAAGGAGGCATTTTTAATCCCTGGATTTTTACAGGTAAAAGTGTCTGGGTCTCAGAAAGGCTGGTTCTGTTTCTTAGCTGATGAGTAGCAGAGAATGCAGGTTTCCTGACTCAGTTCTGAATCCTTCTCCACTAGCTCTCAGGACTGATGCAGGGCGGTGTGGATCGGAAAGACACACCAAAACCTGGGCGACTTGGCCTTTTTCTCTTCCCAGTGCTTTGTTGTGAACCTGGAAAACTCCCAGGATGGTCCCTTGGCTGCCTCTTTGCTCTGTGACTTGATTCACTTCCACCAGGCTTTTTCACCCACTTGCTTATAATGCAGCCACCATCCTCGCTGCTGCTTTCGTGGCTTCTGGCTCCCCCTCCCTGACTGGGAAGCACCAGGTGAGGTGGACTCTCACAGGGGCGGCAGGAGCCCTGAGAGTAACACTGCAGATGTCTGTAGTGCTTCGCAATTTACAAAGCCTGCCCACGTTATCTTGTCTGACCCTTGCGATGACCTATGGGAGAAGCCCAGAATACATTACTGTTTTTTCAGAATCAATTAAGACCGCATTTGTCGAATTCCTGTCACATATCAAGGACTGTACTGTGGTTATTTTATACTCGGGCCCTCTACTAACTTGTTTGGGGATTTTGTAAAATTATAAAAAGGTGCCCTTTGGAGGAATGAATTACACAAAGTTCCCCCGTCCTCTGGGATGACTCATACCCATTCCAGGACAGATCTCGGGCTGGATTTCAGCCCACGCATCCTCTTACATGGAGATTGTGTAGCTGTTAATCCATTTACTTCTCATAAGAGACTTAGAAGGTAGGCAGTATTCCCTTTCTATGGATGAGAAAACTGAGGCTCAGGAAGGATAAATGTCTTAGGCAGAGAGTAACAGGGCTTCTTGCTCTTAGAGCTAAGATGAAACCAGCTCTTCTGAGTTCTAAGCTCGTGGTGGTTTCACCAAGGCCAGTGATGTAACCATCAGGGAAGGTTTTCAGGAGAGATTATGTTTGAGCTGAAGCTCGAAGGGACAGTAGGAATTAACCCAGAAGACAAAACAGAACAGAAGGAAAGTCACCAAGCCTCAGGGGTTTGAAACGTCAGGTGGTTTGGGGAACCCAGCAGTTCAGGAGTGAGGGGTGAGCTGTGTGCAGGTGCCACCAGGCTCCCAGAGTGTGATCGGAACCCCCCCCTACAGTTTGAAGAGCCCACCGTGGATGCCACGTGAGCGGACTGGCCAGCCCAGCCGCCATGCTCACGTCCGGTTCCCACGTGGGGCACCCGAGCCTTCTCTGTGACCATGAATCCGATCAGGCGTTCTCTCAGGTGGGCTGATTGTTTCCAGATGAGGGAATTAAAGTTGGCGGCATTAAAGTCACCTGTGGGGGGACACGCCCTCAGTGGACCTGGACCTTGGGCTGACTGAATCCCATGCCTGTTGTATAATGGCAGAATTGTAGGCATCCTGCATAGCCGAGAAAAGACTTCTTTGAAGGTCCATGAGTTTCCAAGAGCAGACGAGTGTGTTTGTTCCCCCTTCCCACAGCTGGCTCAGCCTGACAGCTGTGTGACAGACACTGCGACACCTGGGTCCCTGAGCACCCCTGGCGCCAAAGTGCTTCGAGCAGGAAGTGAGAGCTGATGGATGCTTGTTGAGTGATACTCACCTGAGTTGATGCATTTTATCTCAAGGCCCACAGTCCTCAGGTGGGCACGTGTGGTGCTCTAGGTTTTTTCCCTGATGCTCCAAAACTCACATCTACCTCTCACCCTCCTTCCGCCACAGATTCTGGCGCCCCCGTGAAATTGCCTTGTCTGCCAGTGAAGCTGTCGCCTCCGCTACCTCCAAAGAAAGTCATGATCTGTATGCCTGTGGGGGGGCCAGACCTCTCCCTGGCATCCTATGCCGCCCAGAAGAGCGGCCAGCAGGGCGGGACCCAGCACCACCACACAGTCCTGCCCTCCCAGATCCAGCACCAGCTGCAGTACGGCAGCCTCAGCCAGCACCTCCCCTCCAGCACCGGCTCCCTCCCCATGCACCCCTCGGGCTGCAGGATGATAGACGAGCTGAACAAAACGCTGGCCATGACCATGCAGAGGCTGGAAAGGTAATGGAGGGAAGGGTGAGGGCAAGAGGGGGAGTTTGGCTGGGTTGGGGGTTGGGGGTCCGACCATGAACAAGAAATCTGGAGACCAGGGCAAGGGCTCATCCCCACTGTAGGGTGGAAAAAGTTTAAAAGTAAAATCAGACCAAAATCTGAATGTCAAGTATGGAAGGAAAAAAAATAGTGTTGTCAATTACCAAACTATAGAACAATCGCGTTCATCAAAAAGAAAAAGTAGCACGTAGACGTATGTACATGTGTGTGTGCGTGTGGATGGATGGATGGATGGATGGATGGAGAGCACATTTGTGCCTCTGTAAGCCTTAACCTATTTTGGAAGCATATGCACATAGTCATTACTGTGGTAACCCCTAGGGCAGGGAGAAGGGGAGAAAATCTTTTTTATTTCGTGTCCTTCGGTACTGCTTAATTGTCTTTTAATTTTTTATATTTTACTTTTATGTTGTAAAAAACAATGTGAATGTGAAATAAGAAAAGAAGAGAACTGGCAGGGTGGTGGTGGAAAACCAGAGAGATGGGAAAGGTGGAGAGGTACGCCCTTGTTCTTGCTGATAGAGGGAGCAGAGTCCTGTAGGCTGATTATGTGCGTTTGAGCCTCTCATTTTTACCAGCAACTGGTGAGGCCCCTTCTTTCACCAGAATCTGCCTCCAATAGCATTGCAGGGAGGTCTGCTAAGAGGATTCCAAGGGCAGGTCTGCAGCAGAGATCCTGACTGCCCACCACCCAGGGAGGTCTCTCATGCTGGTTCTGAATTGCTCATGTGTGTATGCACGTGTGTTTTCAAATACCACCTCGCTGGTGCCCAAGAGGTAGCTGAGATTTCCCGGTACGATTCCCAGACGTGTTGCCTGACCCAGTTCCCTGGCAGGCCAAGAGGGAAGTGTTGCAATCTGGCATGAGGATGTGTCTGAGCTGGGGTCCTGAATGCCTGTCCCAGGTTAGTTAAACTGAGTCCTGCAGATGGGAAGATTGCAGCCCGAGAGCCCAGCCGATCACCAGGCTGAGAGCCAGAGGCAAGATGGACACAGTCGGGAACTTTCTGTTGTTGTTTCCCAACGCTCAGTGGCTTCCTCCCTCCTTCCATCTCAGCCAGGTACTCTATGTTTGGGAAATTAGTAAACTCTAAGGGAAGTTGTTATCACTAAGAATTCTGGCTTGACAGGTTCATGTGAATATCTACCCTCACTGAAAAAAATATGTATATATTTGGCCCACTGGCATCATTCTCAACTACTGTCATTGTTAATGAGGACAATAATTATTTAGAATTTGATGGTTCTTTGTAGTTTATCACACACCTCTGTTACCATCTTAATCCTCACATTACCTAGGGAAACTGAATCAGCAGAGAAATTAAGGAAGGCTGTGTTCCCCAACACCAGCTACTCAAAGAGTGGTCCAAAAACTTGGTGCCCATCTGCAGAAATTATACAGAAACTGAGAGCAAGCTTTTAGGTACCTTTGTAGCAACTTATAAAAAGGGGTTTTATTTGCTGTGCGTTTTTATTGTATTTTTTTAAAGCATCAGTTTGTGATGGATTGAAAGTTAAAATATATAAGTCAACCAGCTGACCCACAAAACTGGTCCTCCCCACAGACATTTTTAAAAGTCCTGCCCTAGGTAGTAAGCCAAGGGTCCAAGGCTTCAAGGGTCCCGGGTCTTCCTCCTGCAAATCTAAAACTCTTTGGACTATAGCACAATTAATTTCCTGCCCCCACGTCTCCCGTAACCCTCAGTACATTTTTGTATCTCTTCAGGAGCTTTAACCATCTGGGAAAGATACTCATGACAGTGGATATTGGCTAAAAACATTTCTACTTAAAGCATACATGCCATTTAAAAAGTTTCCATTGAAAGTATTAATTAACAAATTACATGAGATTCATTAGTTCAGAAGTTTCTGTGTGTATTTGTAGAATATTGAGCATAGACCAATGGGAAAGTCTATTGGACCTACATGGGGTCAGGTTCTCTATTGAAATGAATCAGAGAGAGTGAATGGGAAGGGAGATAATGGGATATTGCAGTGGGGTGGGGAGGGGATCAGAGGAAGGACAGCATGAGCTTGACAGCTGAACCCAGGCAATCTCCTGTGCTTTGTGCCACCCTGAGACCCTTGTTACCTCCTCGGTCTCCCCGCCTGCCCACCCTGGGCCAAGGCACAGGGTTGTTCTGGTAGACCAGCTAGGACACGGGGTTAATGCATGCATCGCTTTGACAAGATCGCCCTCCAGAGAAAACGAGGCCTTTGGTCCAAGCAAAGAAGGATTGAGAGAGCTTTCTGAGCATCCACATTATCTTCCAGGAGTCCTGGAAGGATCTGGGAGCAGAAGGGGGTCACAGGCACCTTTCAGTTTAGTGCTGTCTCCGGGGAGGTCATCCTTCTTTTTACCCCCTGAAAATACTCCCTGCTACCTGTCAACATGATTTCACTCTTACTCTGACCAAGTTTCATTCATTCAGAAAGAATCATTTCTCTATTCTGGCAATATCCAGTGACAGAAAAAAAAAATCGCAAAAAGGAAGAAATACTACTGAACGCAGAACCTGAGATCTCTTAGAACGTCCCATATAGTCCAGACCCTGGTGAAATCTTGTACGTAACTTGAAAATCAAATGATGAACTTAACAGCATTAATGGCTGACGTTGGACCGTAAATATGAATACATAGTCATCATGTAATTGAAAGGGGCCCCCGAAGACCACTGATGCGGCTAACCACTGCCTTTTGCAGCCTTTCTGACCATTTGTCCTCTGGTCTCTGAAAGAATGGGACCCCCCCCCAGGTACCACAATGGCACAATCCATTGTCCAGAAAGTCTGATTATTAGAGTTCTTTTTTTTTTTCGGAGTTCTTTCTTACATTAAGTTAAAAATTTTACTTACTGTAACTGCATTGTCCCAGCCTTGTCGCTAATCTTCCTTTCCCATGAAAGGCTTTCAAGAAAGTCTTTGAAGACAGCTACTATTTCCTTTATCAAATGGCTTCTCTCTTTCAGGCTGATAATCCCATGGAATCATCTGTTGACATGGTTTCGAGACCCTTTACCATCTTGTAGTCGCTCAAGATTACTCTGTTTTGATTTGTATGAAGAGTTTCTTAACCATTACCCTAACCCAAACTTGCTTGATGATACTAAAAAGTCATGCGTAGTTAGTTACGTAGTGTTGGCTCACCAGATTTGGGGTAAGAGGTACAGAAGGAGAGAACTAGAGACAAGTTGAAGCAAACTTAAAGAGTTCTGTATTTATCTGAAGTCACCGGCTGCCCTAGGCAGCGTGGCCAAGCTGGAGGCGGCCCCCGCTCCCCACATCATGGCTGAGTGCCTGGGTTCCAGAATCTAACTGCCAGGATTTCAGTCTCAGAGATACCACTACGTTTTGCCTTTGATTCCTCATCTTTAAAACAGGGATAATAATACCACCATCAACCTCGTTTGGGTTGTTTGCGAGGAACAAATGACACCGAGTCCACATCAGGCATCTTATTACATGATATATAAGAAGTGTCCCATAGATGGTGGCGAATGTTAAGCAGAATTCTATGGAACTCAGAGTGTGTCTTCAGTGCCCCTGAAAGGCATATTCAAATAGATTGGATCCAATCTGGTTGGAAATTTTGTCTCAGTTTCCTCAAATTAGATCATCTTCTTTTATCTTCTCTTCCCTGATGATTCACATCTTTTTTGAAGGTGACTCCACAGGGGTGACCCTACTGCCTCCTCCCACGACTGCGTTGCTGCCACCCAGGGCCACCCCGTCTGTCCTGATCCTCTTTCCTCAACCATGACTAGGGCTTGAGCCTGGCAAGGAACCTCCCTCTCAGCTGCTTTTCCTCCACTAAGGAGAGAGATTGAGCCCATCCCAGAAGAAGAGCTGGGGGCGATGGGGGTGTGGTCTGAGAGCCCTTGCTCCGCTCCCACTGCTGACTTCTCCCTGTAGCTGCAAGCCAGTGCCCTGGGATAATGGAGAGATGCCACTGGGGTGAGTGTTGCACCTGCCTAGTAAGTCAGGGAAAGAGGACAGTCAGTACGCATGGCTCTGCTCACGGCTCCTGATCCAGCCCCTGGAGCCAGGAGCAGGTCAGAGCGTCTGTGGATCGAGGCCTGGCAACAACCCTGGAGCTGCTGGAGGTGGGAGGGAGCCTGGCTTCTGTGTCTCTTTCCCTCCCTCCCCTCCGAGCCCCATGTTCCTGGAGCTCCTTAGCCTTAGAGTCTTCTGAGCTTGCTTCTCTCCTGGGTGGGGCAGACTCCAAAGGAGAAAGGAGGATATATAAGAAGCAACCTTTCTTTGTCCCCTGGGGTAAATGAGCTTGATCTGCAGATGGAGAGAACCAAAGCCTCTGATGTTTAATTTCCATAAAAATTCAGAGAGAGAAATATACATATCTATGTATATTTCTTTAAATTTTCACATCTTTGATAGGTCTGTACAAACAACCCATTCCCACCGCCTGAAGCCTGAGTGGGCACATGGAAAAGCTCTAAGTGTGTTTCATTCAAAAGTATTGGTTCAGTGGTTTAAACTTTAAAAAAAAATTATACAATTTTTTTTTAAATATCTGCAATAAGCTCTGTGATCTGGTTGGCATCCATCCCGGAATACAGACTTAAAATCCTAATCAGCCTCTGATTTTCTTTCCCATCCTAATTCAGTTGACCAGTTCTGTGTCCTCTGGTTTCCTTCTTAGTAAAATGAAGTGGGATGTGTACCCCTATTGACCCTGAAGGAATGTTAGGAAGGTTCTGAAGGGAGTGAGCTTGAAACAGATCTTCCCTTTCTCTATGAAAGCTGACTTCATACTTCTGGTTACTCATACCAAAAAATTTTTTTAAAATTTTTATTTATTTATTTTTTAATTGAAGTACAGTCAGTTACAGTGTGTCAATTTCTGGTGTAAGGCACAGTTTGAGATTTGCAAATGTTAGCATATATATATATATATGCTATATATATATGTATATATATATATAAATAGA